CCATCCTCCTGTGCTTCCTGCGACGCGTTTGATGACCCCGCCGCTACTCCTTGTGCGTGCGTGTTCGATGCGCCTGATGGCCCAGATAGAACACCTCCGGCTAGTCCGGAAGATGCTCCTGATGCACCTGATGTTCCTGGTCCTGATGATGACGGGCACCACGCGACCCACCCGACCCAGCGTGCCCGTCCACGAGCCGCGGCAGCCCACTCGCCCATCGCGCTTCTCGGAAGGCGCACGACCGTAAAGTTGGCGGGGTCAGTGAGCAATGTGCTCAGGAATAACGACAGCTGCACGTCAGCAATGTCCAACGCGATCGAAAGGGCTGGGAATAGCACTCAGAACATGAGCCAGGAACGTCCTGAGGAAGACCGAGACCGAGGCAGACGGATGCGCACTTAGCAGGTGCGGTTGTTCGGTTTGAACTGGCCTTGTGGCACTATTGCCTCATGCACGCACGCACTGCATGCACTCAGCGCTATGCAGCAGCGATGCAAGCTGTTAAGTGCATGAGGAGACAGCACGCGACCCGGAAGGCCGGAAGCCCCACTCCGAAACTCTGAAGGATCCTGACATCCTATCCCGAGCCAGACGGATGCAGCGTTTCATGTTCCGTCACTGTCACTCTTGCAGAGCTTGTGCATGTGCTCACATACGTGTGCACACGCCGCTCCACAACAGTGGCTCTGCGTGCCTATCACTCGTCTCTCTGGACGATGAAGCACATGGCAGCAGATCAAGCGGTGGAAAGGGAGGCGATGAAGCGGTGGTCGGGCGATGAAAGATCGGCCATGGAAGGGGGGTTAAGAGGGGTAAGGGGACTCACCACATCCGAGCTTCGCAGCTCAACGATGACGAAAGCCACCGCGCCAGCTTGACACGCCGTCGCAAGTGTGTCGACAAGCGGCTTGACGAGATGTTCGTTGTACAGGCAGTCGACTGCCAGTACCAGATCACACCTCGGCACCTCCGCTTTGCCCTTCTCGCGCTGCGCAGCTACGTGCGTCCAGTCCAGCTGCGTGAGTGTCGGCATCTCCACTGCCTCTTGTGCGGTGTGTCGCTCCGTTTTCCGCCGGCCCTTCTTCCCCTTCCCGTCATCGTCATCCCACTCCACCTCCTCAGAGACATGAGTGAGCGGTCGGCCAACGAGACGGGCAATCTCAGCCCGCACGTCCCTGTTCTCCGCGCAGTTCCGTTTCACGAGTTTGAGGTTCTCATTCAGGTAGTCCGTCGCCGTCCAGTGCTGTGCCACTGCCCCGAGCGTGACGGCTAGAAGGCCAACTCCGGCGCCGAGCTCGAGCACACCAACGTCCTTCCAATCGAGCCAGCCCGGCGGCTCGAACAGCAGCGTCTCTAGAGTGTTCTCGGCCAAACCCAGACTGGAGCGCCAGAGAACCGTGCCCGTTTCTCCGGACCTAGAGTGGAGACCCGAGGGGTCCTGGTGCACCAGTAGCTCAAGAGAGACAGCTTCAGATCTGTGAGCTTGAGCTTTGTCCTTCCTCGCTGTCCGTGAGCGGCCTGCCCGATGTCCTGCCCGTTTCGTCTTCTTGCCACTTGCTGCTGGTGCCGGATCCGGGTCCGCGTCACCACCCGACCCAGAAGCAGCAAGTGGGGCGGGTGAAGCAGAGCCCAAGCTCAATTGCTCCAACTTTGCCGTGACGGGCGGCTCGAGCTCGAGTGTCACGGCCAATTCCCCGCTCTTCGAGATGTACCCGAGCCCGCCCTTGTCATCGGGCTCGACAGTCATGTATAGCTCGAAGATCTGGGTGTGTCAGCGGTTGTCTTGGCTGCGCCGCCAGGGCGCGCATGTTTGTCAGCCCGGCCCGAACAGCCGGAGTAAGCGGCGATGGTTGGGGGAAGGCTTACCTACCTCTTCATCGGCGTCGAGCACCTCGCGCGTGTCGGCTGGCAGACGAATGAATGGAGCGGGACATGGCGGACATTCGCGCTCCTCCTCGGAGTCAGACATCGAACGCAGTTGGGCGAGATGTTTTGTTGAAGGGGGCAAGGAAGACCAAAACAGTTCCTGGACCAACGAAGTGGAGGTTGATGACCGGACCTGGTGGAGGTGCGTCAGATGACGAAAGGTGACTGACGAGCACGTGGGAGTCTAGTCTAGCCCTTGTCTGCGATGCACACAACGATGAGCTAGTACGATGATAAGCAGACTAGACGCAGTGCTAGCAGTGTGGAAGAAGCACGTTCGCGCCCCAGTTTGCGGCTAGATACGGTTGCGCACGGTGCGTCGAGTTTGCCGACCGGGCAAAATTTCGGCGTCCACAACGCCACTCGCGATGAGATGAAAATGCATGCAGTGTTGTTGTATAAGTTATAAGGAGATACAGTCTGTTGAAGAGTGGGGATGCCATCAGTTGCCTTGTTCTCGTCGCCCGTTATTCCATTCTGTCTGTCAGTTACGAAAAGTGCAGACGAGCTTACGCTTCCATCCCGTCTCCAGGACCCAATCGAAGCCTTTCCTGCCGATGCCAGCGTTGCTGGAGAACCGCTCAACGCTCGCCCTCTCTATCCTGCGCGCGATCATGGCTGTCGGGAACTGCGACAGCATGAGCGCACGCTGTCGGAACAGTGTCGCCGGCGCCTCCGCTCCCTGTCCAGAGGGGTATGGCGTGTACGTGATGTACTCGAGGCAGGACCTGACGTCAGCTTGCAGCACGAGAGAGTAGGTGTGGCTGCTTAGCCGTACAAGTAGCACTTACACATATTGCGCCAAGTTCAAGTTCATCGACATACACGTTGCGCTAGGCCCGTCGGCACCCTCGGGGTCGGAGAAGACGACCTCGCGGACATAAGCCGTCTCGGGGAGGTTGAAGAGCTGCTGTTAGCTGCGAGGTCCCAGCCCCAAGCTGCTCAGTCTCCTACCTTGGTGATCCACTTCGGTGCACCCTGCTGCACCCCAATTATCCGCTCTGTGCGGATTACGCCCGTCTCCGTATCCATCGTGCGGCTCAGCGTGTCGACGCTGTGAACGTGCGTCGCATACGGGTTCGGATACTTGCGCATGAGCCAGTTCAGCGTGTGGCCCGGCGGGTAGCTGCCGTCAGCTTAGATTAAATCGTGTTAGCTTACTTGTACACGATCTCATTCTCGTAGATCTTGGGCATGGTGTCGCGTGATCACCTGAGAAGAGAGGAGGAGGGCGGTGGCGGGGCGGCGATTCGGATTGGGGTAAGATGTGTATGTGTGAGTGCGATGGGATGAAGAGCTGAGGGCGGTTAGATGGTGAGTTAGACGTTCAGCATGCTCGACTCTGTGGTGAGAGATAAGATGAGATGAGAAGGAGAGGGAAGGTCGTCGTCGTCGTTTGCCGGCTGTTGACCAATGTCCTCCTGGGCCGGTAGTTGCACTTTCGTCATAGTTGCGGCGGAGCCGGCCCGGCACGTGACAATCTCTTGGAAGAGGGTGGAATGAATAAGGTCCGATATTTTTGCCGCCCGCTCAGCCGGAACCGACACTCGACGCTGACTGAGGCTCATGTCAGAGCGAGGCGCCATGACGCACGAGCTGGACGAAAGTTGCTTGTTGCTTCCATCGACTCTGCAAAATATCCACCATGATCAGACAACCGGGAACCAATATCAAGTCAGCTACGACAGTGGTAACTTGAGCTAACAGACAGACTGACCAATGTCTCCATCGTGCGCATGAAGAAGGGCGGAAAGCGTTTCGAGGTAGGCAACACTTAACAGAACGAGCTAACTGCAGATCGCCTGCTACAAGAACAAGGTGAACGAGTTCCGCTCTGGTGTGTGAGTACGATGGAGCTTCAATCAGTTATAATCGTTTGAACCGTTATCTGACTTAACAGCGAGAAGGACCTTTCCGAGGTTATTCAGATCGAGCAGATCTTCACGAATGTCCCCAAGGGCCAGGTCGCGAAGAAGGACGACTGGACCAAGGCGTTCGGTTCCGACAACATGGACAAGGTGCTCGAGGAGGTAAGCTTGCCGTCCTCCTTTTGAGCTAACCCCAGATTCTTCGCAAGGGTGAGCTGCAGGTGAACAACCTGGAGCGAGGACACCAGCTTGCCTCCCTCTCTCGCGAGATCGCCACCCTCGTCGCCGAGATGACCGTCGACCCGGCGACGAAGCGGAAACACACGGTCGGCATGGTCGAGAAGGCGATGACGGAGATTGGCTACAGCACGCGCGCGGACAAGACGGCCAAGGCGCAGGCGCTCGACCTCATCCGCCAGCTGAGCCAGCCCGACTCTGTCCTCCCCGTTGAGCGGGTGCGCATGCGTGTTCGTATCACGATGCCGGCCAAGGACGCGAAGCGCATCAAGGAGAAGCTCATGGAGCTCGTCGAGGAGACGGAGGAGGAGGAGATGGATGCCGAGTGGGAGACCGTGAGTTTTGCAGGCGCCTGACGAACTGACAACCAGGTTGTGCGCATCAACCCTTCCTCGTTCCGTGCCATCACCGACCTCGTCGGAAACGAGACCAAGGGCAAGGGCCGTGTCGAATCGATGGGAAGCGTCGGCGCTTAAATCGTTGTCCCCTGCCGCTGCGTTCCACCGCTTCGATTAGATATAATCTAGATGTCTTCCCTACCGCTTGCCATACTGTAAAATGCCACCATGTTTTGATCGAGAAGTGATGCCATACATCAAGTCATACACTATAAGCAGGGTCTGCTAGCTATTGCTTGTTCTTGATTGGGATAAGATAGTGCTGTCCGGCTCATGTCTGGGATGCCGGGAGCGATGCGAGATACACGGGCTTTTGAGCTTTTGGGTTGGTCTGGCCGGGCGCGCTTAGAAGCCGGCGGGGAGGACACCCTGCTGCTGCTGACCAGGCTGTCCGGGGACGTCACCCATAAGCTGGACGTTAGCTCATACCTCCACACGTCCCGTAGCTGAGATCGACATCGGCGGCGGCGGCGCTGCGGACGACTTTTCGCTGTTCGGCGAGACGTCGGAGCTCATGCTGCGGAATGCTCATATTGCCGCTGCGCCGCCGGGCAATGCCGAATCTCGAGTTAAACTCACCTGCTGCTGTCCGGTGCTCTGCATCTGGAGCTCGCGCTCCTGCTGGGTGATCATGGCCTCGTTCTCGGAGGCGAGGGCGAGGGGAAGGGCGACGAGGATGGCGGACGTGCAAACCCACCACGCGATGTTTCCGGAGAGGTTGTAGGCGGACGAGGACCACGACTTGATCGTCTCGGCGGTGTTGGCGAGCGACTTGCGCGTCTCGGGCGGGACAATGTCCTTGAGGGCGGCCACTCGGTCGGCGAACGTCTCGGTGCTCGGGTCAAAGTCGTCCTCCGAGATGACCGACTCGGCGTCGTCCTCCGAGAACTCGGACTCGGTCTCGTAGTCGGACTCGCGGTCGACGATGATCTCCTCCTTGACTTCCTCGACGAGAACCATGGTGTTTGCGGCGGTGTTGGGGTGGTGGGTGGGGTAAGAGAGACGGTGGTTTTACACAAACGGCAAAGTCAAGGCGAAATGACGGATTTCGAGGTCGTGAAAGATGCAGGGACCGGAGGAGTGAGAAGGAAACACATTACGGTAGGGGACCAGATAAGGAAATTTTCGGATGCTACAAGATCTTCAATGTCCACCTGCGGCCAGGGGTGGTTAGTGCATGCGGCGAGCAGGTTTGTTGCGTCACAACATCACATCAGCAGCTGTTATCGCCCACCATGTCGAGCAAGACGGCGCCGAAGAGCATCCTGAAGAAGCCTGCCGTCGCAGGACCGAGCAAGCTGACCGGCTCCAAGGGCAAGGCCAAGGCGACCGTCGCCGTCAAGACGGCCAAGGTCAAGGCGCCTTCCCCGGAACCGGAATCGTCGGACGACAACGACTTCCCCGACGACGACGAGTACGAGCTGGACACGGAGGACGAGATTGAGCTTGCGCAGGCGGGATCGGAGAAGAAGCAGCCGAGTAAGTCGTCTTCGCAGCTACGAAGGCGCAGAATCTTTCAGCTGACATCAGAACGCAAGCGTCCGACGACGGCGAGCGAGTTCGGTTCGACGCTGACGTCGCTTCTCGCGGAGCCGACAAGCAAGAAGGCGAAGAAGGTGAAGAAGGAGGACGACAAGAAGCCGAAATCGCAACCGATTCTTGCGCTCAGTGCCAAGCCGCTGCCGCCTTCGCAGGCTGCTGAGAGGTTGGAGCGCCGCGCCGCGCGTGTGCTCAAGGCTGAGCGTATGGAGCGTCTTGACCGCGCCCGTGTCCGTGATGTTGTCGAGGGATGGGTCCCCGCCCCGGGAGCCGAGATGGGAAGCCAGGAGTTTGAGCGTGCGCTGCGCAAGACGGCGCAGAGGGGTGGTGAGTACAAGAGAACTGAGCTAGGTGCATCATCAGGAGCTAACGAGCAGTCATCAAACTGTTCAATGCTATTCTTGTCGCGAGCAAGAACGCCGAGGCGGCCGCCAAGACGCTGTCCGACAAGGCTGGACTTAAGCCCGAGGCGCCCAAGAGCAGGAAGGAGAAGGACAACATCCTCGGCCGTGGTGGCAAGGACGACGTGCTCACCAAGGAGTCGTTCCTCGACCTTGTCCGTCGCGGCAGCGCCAAGTAATTTTGCTCCCTTTTCTCTTTATCACTCATAGACCCAGCAACCATTTTGGACCGACTTTCAGCATTTTATACCAATGGTGTCGTCGCAGCACCGAATGTATTTCTATCTTACATCTCTATAATTGAGCTCCCGAAAGGGCAGAAAGCTAATTGTACACGACTGCGACGCCCTTGCGACCAATACCGCCCTTCATGTCCTCCAAACCCAGAACCTTCTCAAGCTGCGTCCAACTCAATCCGAAAGTGGTCTGGATCTCGTCCGCGTGATGGTGTCCGTCCAGCAGGGAGAGGAGCTTGTCTTCTCGCTCGGCCTGGCGATGCTCTCGCCGCACCACACTGCCCGCGCCCGACCCCCGGTCGATACCCGAGTTCAGACCCGCGCTCATGCCAGATACGCCGCCGGACATGCCACCAGACATGCCGCCGCTCATTCCAGACACACCGGAGCGCACACCGCGCCGAGAGCTGAAGGACGGGTGCGTATCCCCACCGGCAGACTTGCCGAACTGGTTCTGCTGGTACGCCGACTGCGAAATGTGGCTGCCTCCGCGCTGTGAGGCCTGTGCCGGCGAGCCAGGAGATACGCTGGGCGGAATGGACGAGTTGCTCTCGCTCCGGAGCGTGATGGTACTATCCAGCGCGCCCCGCTCCGCCCTCTCAAGGTAGCCTCCTAGTCTCTCCTGCCCATCATGGTGCCTTCCCCCATGCCCACCGTGGCGGGAGAAGCCCGAGTCGCCCCCTCTGTGAAATCCGACTCTTCGCCTCGGGTGGTCTGGCACGCCTAACGTAGATGTCGGCTGCGATGACGGAAGGAACAGCTGCACGCTCCGGTCGAGCACTATCGGCCATCGGTGCACACGGCGCAGGAAGCCCTTGATCACGCCAAAGGTCACGAATCGCCGCGGATCGATGCCCCGCTCCGTGATGCGGTTCACCTCGCACCACTTGTGCAGCGTCGTCCCCGGTCGCAGCTTGGCATACAGGCTGGCGAGAATGGGCCAGTCGGGCACCGGCGATCCTTGGCGAGTGACGTAGATCCCACACTCGGACTGGACCGCCTCATCGGCCGTCAGCCGCGCAAACGATGGCGTCGTCGTATACATGTTGCTGTACTGGAAAATGTCGACCTGAGAATTAGCTTGAGGTGATTAGCAATAAAAGCTGCGACTCACCATCATGATGACCTGGTAGTAGAGCAGATGTCGCAGCGTTTCGCGCACAAGGGCCGGATCCGCATCGGCCAGCTGCGCTATCCTCGCTGCGTGGTTGACACCGTTAATGTGCGGTGCCACGCGCGCTGCGGTAATGTCCCAGTTTGCGTCCTGCAAGGACTTGAAGTCGACGAGGGGGATTGGCACGTCCCAGTCATGCACCTGCGGCGGGTTCGCTGGGATATTAGCTTGCCGCTACATAATGAAGCTGCCCGGCAACTCACGGAAGTAAGGAAACAGTTTCAGCTCGAGCCAGTTGTACCCGTCCAGTGGGATTGACGTCTCCGAGTACGAGTTCAGGTCCTCGAAAAGCTGCTCCAGAACCGCTGGAAGTGGGGTGTGGTCAGGTTTCGGGCTGGAAAGGAAGCCAGAGTCGATCTGGTGTCAGTTATCGGACCACATCGTTGAACTTTACCTCCGCGCTACGCAATATTCTCGCGGTCTTCCGCACCACGGGCTCGAAGGCCTCGACGCTCGCGTTCGCGCGGAACACAAAGCAGGTGTTCCACATGTACTGGTTGCGCTTGTATCGTCCGTCGACCTCGACGACGGAAGGCACGCCCATGACCTTGTACTCGTGTGTCCTGTCCTCTTCCTCGTCATCGCTGTCCTCGCCTTCGGCCCAATTTCCCCTTGTCCGGAAGATGACCAGCTTTCCCTGCAACGAGCTTTTCGGGATGACATACTCGCTCATGGAGCTGGAGTCGAGCAAAGCGGGGAGGGGCCGATCTGGTGGCCGTTCGGGGGTGGGCGTGTGAGGCAACGGCGTCGGCGTCAATGTCGGTGTTGTCTCCCGCGTAGCTGCTGGTGATGGTAACGACAACGGCGACGCAGTCCGGTTCGGCCCACTGACTGATGAGGATGCGCGCGCTCTCGTTCGTGTCCGGGAGACGGATCGCGAACGACTGATCGAAGGCGACCGCCGCCCTTCTGGCTCGCTGGCCGAGCTCGAGATCAACCGTTCCGGTACTTGATGCAGGACGGTTGGACCAAGCACCGGGTCAAACGTCGCGAAGAACACGCCCACAATCTGCGGAAGGAAGGACCTGGTGTCAGCGTGATCTTGCGTAAACAAATGCACCTCCACCTGATAACGACATTAAGCAGACGGAGAACAAGCGACAATCGACAAGCCGCTCGCTGAACTTGCAGCTCCCAAGACTTACTCATCCGAGACTCCCATGACGGCGGGGTGGTATCCGTGATGCTCTTGCGTGTGCGAGAGGGATGGCGAGAGCGGGGTGAAGATGTAAGGCAGGGGAAGGGGGATATGGTGTAGCGGCTCGTCGCCAATGACGCAGCGGAGGAGCACGTGACTCATGAGGGCGCGGCCGGAGCCCTCGGACGACGTGCGGCGCGGCGACGGCGACATGCTCGAACTCATGCGCGCAGCATGACAAAGTGTCCAGTGAATGCATTGTGATGTCTAGATGATGCTGTCTACTGTGCTGCTCGCACTGTGATGCGGGCGGGCTTGCTGCTTTCGTACATTTTCCGCATGGTCCTCCCCTTGTATGCCGCCTCTGTCCCTCGTCCCTTGAGTCGCACGTCGCCCTCACCCGGCATGGCAGGCCTGGCCAAAAGGACGACTAAGCTTCGTCCCTCATCAATTCTTTCCCCCTGCCACCGCACAGACGGTTCTGACGCGGCATCCAGCCTGAGTACGTTGCCTCGAATGCGTAATGCGTAAACGCCTCCGCTTAGTCTCGCTTCGCTCGCTTCATTGCCTCCCTCCGCTTCCACCCGGCCTCGACACCGATGCCAGCGAACACGACGGCGACACCCGCCCACTGACCCAAGCTCAGCTTATGTCCGAACACGAACACGGAGAGGAGCATCGTGAACAGTTTCCGTGTAACGGTGACCATGACGAGGGTGAGGGAGCCGAAGTGGCTGATCGTCTCGAAGATGAAGATCTGTCCGAGACCGCCCAGCGCGGCATACGCTGCGAGCGGGGCGAGGGCCGAGGGGTGTGTGGCGAGGAAGTGCAGCGAGCGGAGGGCGACAGGCGCGGTGAACGCCGAAGCCAGACCGTGTCCAGATGCCATCAACGGCGCGGCTGGCATCGGGATCAGCATTGGGAGCGAGAGCACGCACACCGTGATCGACGCCATAATGAACATCATCTGCTGTCCCGAGTAGCCGGGGTAGAGGGCGAAAAGCTGGTCCTGCGTCGAGTTCGTGAGACCATCGATGAGCAGGTTCACGAGCAGGAGCAGGAGACCGTACGCCGAGTTCTCGCCACCACCCTTCTTCTTCCCGTTCAGCATGAAGAGCGAGATGCCGAGCGTCACGAGACCGACGACGACGTACTTCTGCCGACCGAACCTTCTCCGGTACAGAAGCACATTCAAGAGGAGCACCGGGATCAGCTTACAGCTCTGCTTGTCAGCTGTCATCATAGTGTGTTCAGCTCACCTTGCCAAGAACCATCATGGGATAGGAGATGTGACGGAGGGCGAGGAAGCCTATCGGGCCCGCTGTCGTCTGGAAGAGCGATACCTGTAGCAGCAGTGCAGGCAGTGACTGGTACCAGGGGCGCTGTGCGGCGATGCCGTTCGCTAGCGACTTCTTCGCCACTCCGTGGCCATTGCCGTTGCCGTTGGCCAGCACGGCCTGCTTCTCGTCTCCACTAGTGAGCTCGGGTGTCGTGTTACCACTTTTCGGTCGGTTCGCGTCGATCACCTCCTTGACTCCGTCCACCAGCCGCGTGATGCCGAGAATGGACAGCACGCTCTCCTTGCTGCCCGCGCTCCAGGCTTTCACCAGGAGATACACAGCGGCGCAAGTCGCGGACGCTATCGCCTGGCAGAAGTTGAAAAACAACGGACTCGGGAACTTGTCCAGTGTCGGGTGTGGTCCTCGTGACGGGAACGGCTTCGATACTGCTGTCAGTTATCTCCGGCCTGAATGAACTTACGCCGCTCCTGCGCAATCGCCCAGAGGAGGAAGGCACCATACACGCCGGAAATGCACACGCCGAGTCTGTCTGTCAGCTTGATAGGTCGTCGATCAGCTTACCGTATCAACCCCATTGTGTGATTGTGTAGGAAGGAGTGTGGGTTGTGTCGAGGTGTGTGTGGAGGGAAGAAGCGACGTAACAACAACAATGAAGGGGGAAGGGCGTCGACTTTTGGGCGGCGTGAAACACGAGACGTGGCATTCAGGCACGGCTCCCCGCTGCCAGCGGGGTTCAGTGATGCCAAGCTAGTCCGAAACCGTCGCACAGCTCGTCGCGCGGGGCAATGCGCGCGGTGATGCGGTGACCAGAGGCCGCCTCAATGACCATCGCGATGTACCGTCGAAAACACGAAGACAAGGGTACGAGGGCATGGCGGTAAGGTGGAGAATGAGGTACATTGCTGCACGTGTTATTGTGACTGGGGGCCCGGTTGGGTGACTGCCGGCGGCACCGTCCTTGGCCAACTCGGAGGCGGCATTCCAGGACAGGCCTACGTCAAGGAGGATATCAGAGAGAGCAGTGAAGTCCGACAGAGCACGAAATGAGCGATCACATGTCCGCGGACGTTATCATCGTCACCGGTGTCAAGAATAACCCGGAGGTGGGCCGTCGGTGATCGCCGACGCCTCTGACGGGCCGAAACCCGAGCGTCCACGGTCAACCATGCTCAACTATATAGTAGCCGGCGCACGTCATCTGCGCCCTCTTCCTCGACACACTCCACTCAGCGAGCTCCACTAGCACCCCTGCAACACTCAGACTCGACCTCCTCATCCCTCACATCGAATTTGAAGAGCGCGATACAACTACAGAGGAACAACGGATAAGCGCCATGACCCAAACACAAGAGATCGACATCGGATCGTCCGGCAGCGCAAAGGCGCACAAGGTGCCCCGCCTCAGTCCGGAGGGCAAGGCGGCACTCGACGCTATCCTCAAGAAGGCGGTTGAGTCCCGCGTGGTGCCCGCCATGCACTTCGCCGCGACGACGAAGGACGGCGTGATCTATGCCGGTCAGGCGGGAGAGAAGGTCTTCGACGAGCCTGAAAAGGGGCAGGTCAACGAGGACACCAGTAAGTCGTTATGAGCATTCAAAGCTGACTTCAGCGCTCCAGCTGTACTCCCAGACCAAGCTCGTCACTGGCGTTGCTGCCCTGCAGCTCGTCGAGTCCGGCGTCTTGTCATACGATGACCCCGCCATCGTGGAGAAGTACGCCCCCGAGCTGTGGGAGCAGCCCGTCCTCCTCTCCTTCACGGACGGCAAGGCGGAGACCGAGCCCCGCAAGGTGCCCCTCACCCTCCGTCATCTGCTGACCCACACATCCGGACTGGGATATGGCTTTATGTCTCCCCCGCTCATGGCGTACAACACGGCGCACGGCCTCGGCAAGACCTACGGCGGCACAGCCGCTGATCTGGCGCAACCTCTCCTCTTCCAGCCCGGCAGCCGGTTTGGGTACGGCATCGGCATTGACTGGGCCGGCATCATCGTCGAGCGCGCGTCTGGCCTCAAGCTGAACGAGTATTTCCAGAAACACATCTTTGCACCCCTGGGCCTGATAGAGGACGACGTGACATTCTTCAACCGGCCCGAAATCGTCGAGCGGTGGCAGCGCGTCACGACGCGTAATGCCGAGGGCAAGCTCGTCCTCACACAGCCGAGGCGGCCGCTGACGGGTGAGCCGGGACAGCTCTCGGGCGGCGGAGGACTGTGGGGCACCAACAAAGCTTATCTCACCTTCCTCCGCGGCCTGCTCGCCTCTCAGGACGGGAACGGGATCGTGAGCCCCGAGGGATTCAAGTTGCTGTTCGAGGATGCGCTGCCGACTAGGGCAGATGGGAACACGGCTCACGCCAACCTCGCACGTATGGTTGGATCGGGTACGACGACGGCGGTCGACCCCGCTCTCTGCGACAATGGTGGCCAGGGACTGGGTCACTCTATCGCCATGTGCGTCAACCTCCTCGACAGCGCTGGAGGGCGGAGGAAGGGAAGCGGCACCTGGGGCGGTATCGCGACGACAGAGTTCTGGCTCGACCCCGAGGCTGGTATCGCGGCTTGCGGCGGAACGCAGTTCCTCCGGAACCGCGAGGTTGAGGACAGAACGCAGAAAGATCCGTTCGCGAAGGTATGGCACGAGCTCGAGACGACACTGTACAAGTACCTCGAGTACTAGGAGAGATAGAGATACATATCAAGATATGGATACAGCAGTGATACGACTATAGTTACGTGTCAGAAGATGTTCTGTCGGGGCGTTGGGAGTCGAGAGGGTGTGCTGGTGCGAGAAGGCTGAGTGGTCGGAGCACGCTCCTTCTGCATCTTGTGCCGATACGCTGCATTCTCCTCGGGACCATACGGCGCACTCTCCTCCTCAACCATGGCCCAAATAATATTCCTCAGCTCAGCGGGGAGGTTGCACATCGTCTCCTCCACTCCATCCGAGAAAGGCATCCAGTCAGCCCGTTGAGGCGGGATTTCGCTCGTGCTCATCATCCTCTCATGCGGATCGACTAACAGGACCTGCACGAGCTCGAGCACACCCTCCCCTTCTCCGGTACACTCGACCTCGAGCTTCGTGTCCAGCACCTTCGGCCACGCCACTAGCTTCCCCGACGTAAGGCCTACAGTACCGAGTGGGAGGTACAACCTGCGATCCTTCTCCCACCACTTTGGCGGCTCGATGTGGCCATAGAAGTTAATGCGCGCCAGCTCTCTGATGGTGCGTACGACTTCCGAGCCCCGCTGCACTGGAAGATCGATGTCGGGCAGCTCTCCTTGCGGAGCTCGAAAGCTAAGCGTCGCGTGTACATTCTCTGCACGCGTCACGACCACCGCGCTCGCTACAGCCTCTCCCAGTCCCTTCTCCCACTCTCGGACGAACGGTCGCTTAGAACCTCGGGACACAGCATGTCGCTCGATCCGGAACAGAACCTGGACTCGAGGACGTCCTCGAATCCAGGAGCGAGTCTCAGCATCGAATGTCGGGGTCGGCAGCGCAGCGGTGGGCGCAGGATGCAGCGGCCGCGGCAAGTGGGCGTCAACAAAGAGCCGCTCCTGCACTGAGCCGGCGCCCTGCGGCGGGAAGCAGTGTCCTCGGCATCGCGACGGCGTGCCGCACTGTACCATCGCCTCGGCGCCTTGCCATGGTATCCGGTGTCGCGGGGCTATCCAGGTGCTCTCCAGCGCGGTGACTAGGGCCGGCATCGCTGCTGCTACGATCGTTTCCAGCGCCGCGTATTGTTCCTCGTGGCGAGGGTGGAGGTTCGACACATAGCTCTCCAGCTGCGCTGAGCTGTCGGCCGCAAACGATACATCGGTCGGGATCGGGGTAAAGCTGCCTTGCTCAATGAGCGTACCCATGCCGAACGTTTCGAGACAATTGGATCTCGAAATGCCCGTATGTCGGCGCGTAACGGGAACGAGAGGATAGTCCATGGGATCCATGACCGCACCTATCCGACTCGTGTCCAGCTGGCCGATCGCTTGGGCGACCTGTTCGTTGATCGGCAGCGAGCCCTTCACAACACATGCGTCGGCGTCCAGGACCATGACGAAGGGGTCACCCGCCATGCCCCTCAGCTCCCGGACACAAGCCATAAACATGTCTGGCGTGAACCCTCCAACGGACAGATCTTGGGGAAAGCCATCGAATGGTGTTGCTTGACCGGAGGTTCGAGCAAGCATGCCGTCCTTGGGCAGGTAGCTCGCCCAGACCAACATTGTCCTGTCGTCGGTCACGAGCTCTCGCCAGTCATCCCGCTCGGTGACGTCGTTCATGAACCAGAGCATGGCGCGCTCGCGGACGGACAGGGGGGAATGCGTCCACGCCGTGCTTGGAGTGCCGGGGCGGGAGGGAGTGGCTGCCGCCATTCTCCCTGGTGTGGACATGGCGAGTTGAAAAGTGAAAGGAAGGTCAACAGACGGACGCGTGACATCAGTGATCGGTGGTGGGTCGGTCACTATGTCATCGGAGTGCGGGGAACACCAGTCGTACCAGTCTGAGCGGGGTTAGTGGGGAGGCACCGACAATCAACGCTGGTTCGGTTAATCTTTGTCGATGCTGAAGTTGCACGCAGGTAGATATACACCTGTGCGTTGAGCTGAGTTGAGCTACCGGGGCTGAGGGAATTCGGCAGCAACAGTCAGTCGTGGATAGAGATGAGTGATGAGGAGGTCGCAAGAGCAGAGATCGGCGCAGCCTTATGAAGTCAGCCGCGATTCGGATCCGGATGTCAACCACCTCCACCGGGCGTCGCCGTTGACCGTCTTGCCCACAACTTCCTCATCACTCAGCTCGACTCAGACGAGCTCGACAATCATTACTGTCATGCTCAGTATACGCAGGTTGGAGCCTTCGTCGCCTCCATCAGAAATCGATGCGGCGTCGGAGCTCTTGACGTCTGTCTTCGCCGACGACCAGTTGACGCGAATCGTCTCCTCGCCCGTCCCCGGCTTACACGCCGCGCGCACGCGCTCAACCCTAGTCACGGGCGTGCTCGATCTGGCCGTGTTTACGGCACACGAGAGTGAATGCGAGAAGCTGCTCGGCGTACTGATTCTGAAGCCACCAGGAATTGTAGATCGGCATAGGTGAGCTTGAATGGTGTCGGTGGAAGCTAATCGCAGCGTGAACTCGGAGGGACCCCATGACGAGCCAGCCCAGAGATTGCTGAAGGGACCGGGCAGCGACGTCGTCCTGGCGAATTACGCAAGGCTGCGATCACATGTCCACAAGCTTGAAGAAGACGCTTTCGGCGGCGTGACGAACCTGTGGTTCGTGAGCTTCGTTGGCGTTTCGCCAGAGGCGCAGGGGAAGGGCGTTGGACGAGTTTTGTGTGATGCTGCCGCGCGGCTTGTACGAGACAAGGCGGATGAGACGGGTGTTCGGACGCTCGCGCTGGTCGCTATCAGCGAGGACGCGGTGAGTAAAACCTGATGATCGGCGGAGAGCTTAGCGTTGCCGATCTTGACCACCATTCTTCTAATTCTGTAGATGATTGAGGAACGGGGAATGCGGTCGTTCTAATTGCAGACGTGCTGACACCGGTCCCAGATGCGCTTCTACAAGCGACTCGGTTTCGAGGAACGTGGATATGTCGAATTCAAAGTTGGCGATGAATTGGTCAAGCGGTGGGCGATGAGCAAGGAATGCTGAGATGCGCTGGAACGCTTGTTGTCAAGCGGGCGCGATCATTTCTTTAGAGTCCTGTCAATTAGATGTATGCGTCCCGAGAGGAGCGAAAGAAGCACAACAAAACTCCATAATGATGACGAAAGCTAGATAGTGATACTGTGTACGATGTGAAGGTGTGTATTGTACCTGCTGGGCGCGATTTTGCAGAGACCAGAAAAGATGAAATGGAAAGTGATCATGAGCATTGAATGACAATAGCAGGAGAAGATGGAAGACAGATACGGATAGAGGTCGATAGTGGTACACTGCTTTTTGGTGGGGATGTGAACTGATCCAGGGAGGGCTCGGTTGATGGCGGCGGAAGCCAGATCGGATGGTGGTAACGCATGGCGTGCTCGGCATGCTCAGCATGCTGAGCTTAGACGTGAACGACGGGCGCCGGCGTCGACGGCCGCTCAGTGCGCTCCGAGTGCTTCTCGTTGCGCAACGACGTTCCGCTGCTCCGCGAGCTGCCGTCGTCGGTGTGCTCGACGTCGTCCTCGTCGCGCACCTCCTCGATCTCCTCCTTGGGCTCCTCCTCGGATTTGGGCGCGGGCTCCTCCTTCTCCTTGGCAAGCAGGTCGACCTTGGAGTCCTCGCTCTTCAGGGGCGCTCCGAGGCTAACCTCCTCGACACCAACGGCGCGCAGAACGTCTGGAGCCTCGCAGTGGTCTGTGCGTGTCAGCTGTATTCATAAACATTGACGCCACCCGCGCTATCGGCGCCACCGTTAGGCATCGTTAGGCTGCTAGAACGCCATAATGAAATCTCATTGGCGAACCCTGGCAGTCCTGAGATGCGGCGTCGCAGGTTCACATGCGACTCATGGATACCGGTTCGTCGCGGGCCGGCTTACGCAAAAAGATTACTCACCACTTCGGGCCGCCATTCTGTGGGCAAAGTCGCACTTGAAGTCGTCCGAAAAGACAAACTCGCCGCCGAGCTGGAGGAAATTGCCCGGGTTAGTGAAGCCGGTCAGACGGAAGAAACCGTTGCTCATGCCGTTCGCCATTTGGCGCAGGAAAGCGTGTCGGTGGTAGCTTGGTCGGAACTTGAGCTTCATCTCGGGGAACGGGTTGGGCATACGCGAGCGCATGCCGAGAGCCTTGTACAGCCGCGTACCGCGGTCGACATAGACGTTGAATGTAGCCGGGATGTTGAACATCTCCTTGTACTTCGTGATCGCCTTCCAGGTGCCAGACGAGATGACGCAGACTTTGACGCCAGCGCGGAGGAGCGCGGCCGGGGACAGCTTAGCGAGGGACATGAGGACGTAGTCGTGACACAGACCGCACCACCAGTGACCGACGAAGAAGACAACAGTCCTCGTGTACTTGGGCGGCTTCGGGAGTTGGTTCACCCTCGTCTGCGAGTGAATGCTCTTCAGGCTCTTCGTCGGCGCAGTGTCGTTCGTGTCGACAGGCGAGAGTAGTTGCGAGGCCGCGTCGTCAATGTCCGCGTCAGAGTCGGGGAGAAGGTCGCCAAACTTGAGCTGGTTGCCGTACTCGTCGAACAGCTTGCAGTCGGCGGCCTTCATGACCATCTTCCGCGAGGGCTTCTGCCAAGTCCATGACGGGTCGTGATCGCGCTTGGCAAGGTCCTCGTCCTCGTCGTCCTCCTCCTCAGGAACCTCCTCGTCGACCCACTGCTCCTGCTCCTCGACAGCCTCGGCCATAAACTGTTCCATTTCCTTCATTTCTTCCTCGGTCATCTCAGTGCTGCCACCGAGCATAACCTCCTGGTGATCCTCGTTTGATGAACAGGTGAGGTCGGGACAGGGCTGGTGAGCGTGAACGTGTCCGTCTTCAGAGGCGTGATGCGGAGACGGCCAGCCGTGATCCATTGATTGCCGGGGTGGTTCGGAAGAAGTCGAGTTGCGGCCGAAAGTGTTGGCCCAGGATACAGTGTCTTTGCGGTCGGAACGTTCGTTGTAAATGACGCTATGTCCCCTTGATGTCCGGGGGGTGGGCGGAAGAGAGTTGATGGTACTTGTACTAAGGCCGGGGTGACACGTTTGGGCCAAGTTGGAAGAGGAGCTAGGCGGTGACCTGCGCCTGGTTGCGATGTCGCCGTCCGAAGCGGCAGCCCCCACGACGGCGGATCTTCGGTCCCCTCGATCTGTCGCGTACTGGTTGTAAGATCCGTACCTCGCCATGATCGAATCCGCGTACCCTGCGGGCGGCCTTGCATTCTCAAACCACTTTGGCGCCTTGGGGGTAGTCACTGAAACGCTCGAGGCAGAGGGCAGAATGGTCATGCCAGTGACTGGGCCCGGAAGCGGAGGGGCATCGTCGAACGAAATGCAAGCAGCCTCAGGGGGCGTCCGCGGTGCATAGCATGCTTCGGGGGGCGTCACAGGGCCATCGAACAAATGAGTCGGTGGCGGAACACGTCGTCGAACGGGCTTGGTCGCTGGTGATCGAAAAGATCCTGACTGTGTCGCAGATGTCGCAGATGTGGCCTGGGGCGGCGGCGGGGTAAAGGTCGTGATTGAATTGATCGCTCCATCGTCGTCCGAAGCCGCACTTGTCGACGGCGGCGAAGAGGCCGAGAGCGGCGGATCACTGTGCCTCCGAGCAAGCGAGGGCGGGCTCGTTCCAAGGTCGAACTCGTCTCTTCGCTGTTGTACTCCGAGAGACTTGCGCATAAAGTTGGGCGGAAGGGGAGGGACTGGCGGGATCGCCTGCTCGTCAACGGCACTCATGACGGGCGAGACGAGTTTTCGGCGTTCAGAGGGCGACGGCTGGGGAGCAGGGGATGGTGACGGCTGGTGAAGGCGAATCGTAAACTCGATGTCGTCTGGCAAGTCTGGTCGTTCGTCGTCGTCGACAGCTTCCTGAGGATATGGGGGATGTTGAGATCGCAGCTCCATATCTGGTTGTGCTAAAAACGGTGCTACGGTTCAGAGACTGGGTTTGCCTCCTGGCTTCGTTCCGGAGCGTCGTCGTACGCAGGCGCTTGAGAGTGGAACAGAGAGGCCCAAACAATTGCGGCACGACTGGTATCGTTGGGTCTGGTGCTCTAGTTCCCTCTGGGTCGTGGTTGGATTCCTCTGGTGTGCTACTTCGGGCCTAGCCAGCTGTGTAGTGCGTCGCTCAGGATCAGTCGTCCAAATGAGCTGGGATGAAGGCGGACGGCGCGGCGGGTGCAAGGCGGCTCGGCGGAGGAGAGGACGCAGGTCAGACAGGATAGACAGGAATATGAACGAAGGGATCGAAGGATCGAAAGATCGAGAGCTGAGGTAACACGCGCTGCGGTTTACGGGCGGAGGATCTGTTGTGATTCATGAGGTCTGGTGATTATTCGTGGAGACGCGACTGCATTGTTTGGCTGGCGCGCACCCATCCCTGTCAAAGCGATCGTACTCCTCCTCGACCAGAGGGGACAGTATCACCACGACATCTGGCCCCACGGCCTGCTTCCCGACCCTCCCATTCGCTCCTCTGACGTCCTCGCGATAGCCGAGGCGTTCAAGGAGTTCACTGCATCAAGAGCTGCATGGGGCGTCCTTTACGCATATGTCGAGGCGCACGCCAGCTCCCTCACTGCCGACGCATTGACAGAGAAGAAGATCGGCGACTGGTTAGCGAGAACTTACCCCCGCCCTTGGGCGGGGACCGCATCGTTCGCCTAGGCCGCACCCACTCGGCCACTGTCGAGGCGATATTGCTCCTCCTCGACCAGAAGGGAGATCGAGAGGAGAGGAATAGATTAACTCTCAGACAGGCCGACGGCGCCAGTTTGAGGAAGGGAATTGAAGGGCTGACGACTACTAGCGATAATATGGTGAGTGAAGCGAAGGACTGATCAGCCCGATCAGAACGCGCCGGTAGAATCCCAGAAGGAACTGCAGGATCGAAGGATGCCAGGATGACCTGATGACCTGATGATGATAGGAGCCTAGGAGTATCTAAGGACGGAGGGAGCGCCCGGAATCCATGTCACGCATTGAATGCCTTGAGCCACTAGTCCAAGCCCCGTCGACCGCGCAGACCCGGGTGCAGACCCGCGACCCGCAATGGGACCCGCATGCAGACCGCATCCTCAACAACCAACGGCGACGAACACACAGGGTGGGACGGCACTGACGGGTGCTCCTTGAGGCGAAGGGCTGTACCGATAGACTTTGGGGACCGTCGCGCGTGCCCGAGCATTGTGCAGACAGGCGAGCGAAGCGTTCGGGCTCGAGGCCGTGGGGGACCTTTGACCGCGCAGGGATGCTTTGCTGATGTGCGAGGACTGGGCCGAGAGAGAAGAGCAAGCACACCCAGGCACTCAGGCACTCAGAGCTAAAGGCAGCGATGATGTGCACTGGCTGGCAGCTCGAGAGGAGACGTCCACAGAGGTGTTCCTCGATCTGTGGCCACCAAAGTCCTGGATCATGCATATGTAACGTCAACACTCACGTACAACGGCGCACCTTGACACAGGGGTACAGGGTTCCTCGCCACTGCGGGTGGTTCCTCCCTACCTTTCCCTGGACTCTCTCGACATCTGCCCCTCCTCCGTGACCCCGTACCCTTTTCGCGGTACTTGCCCCGCGTATCTTTCCTGCTTCCCTTCTTTCCCTCCTGTCCCCCCGCCACGCTGTGCTCTCCGAACGACCTCAAAGGGGCTTCACCCGCCAGTGTCCTGGATGGTGCCTCGGCCCAACCAAAATCTCGCCCTGGGCATCCTGACCGTTTGTCTGGCCGCTAGTAGGTGCAACCGGCCATGGTGCCTGTTTTTCTGTACCTTCGAAAGCAGATGAGGCGTGGACATATGGGTCGGGCTGCTCCGATCGTGATCAGGTTCTTGCCGACAAGACCAGAAGGCTCACTTCTCACGATGGGGATGGGCGCGAGTACACCTCGCAGACTGGTGGCGACTACTAAATAGGAGCTGAAGCAGGGCAGTGTCCACATTGACACCTGTCCTGCGAAAGTTATTCGCAGAAACATCCGCCCATAACCGCAGGCGTATGCTGGGTGGGATTACGAGATACTTCAGTGGAAGAACACAGCGTTGTGGCTCGGCTTACGGCGCCTCGAGCTCGGGACTGAAATAGTTGCGTAAGGCTCTCTGCTCAGATCAGCAGGTGACTCCCCAGTAGTGGCGCGCTGGGGCGCTGCCGAACGGGTTGTGCTTCGTGTCGACCAACTGATGGCCGAGGATTGCAGGGAACTGTAAAGCTCTGTGTACCGCTGTCGTTCGTGCCGCTGCAGTGGTAGTCGGCACGATCCCAAAGTTTGCATCCTCCAGCGGAGGGCCTGACGGAAGGGCTTGCAATTCAAATGACGCAGCGGTGCTGGCAGCTTGCCTGTCAGGCTGACGATTTACAGTGGCCGCCGCATGCCTGCAACTACTAGCTACACGCACAGACCACGATTCAGAGGTGACTGGCCCTCTCATGCCGTTAGGGCAGAGGCACACCTGAGCACGCAGACCGCAACGGCTGCTCCGAGACTGCTATCTATAACACACCAGGAGGACCCCCGATCCCAGCACGCCAGCAGCCAGTTGTTCCTGTGTGCCTCGCTATCACGCCATGATCTCATGAAGAGCAGCACTAGTGACCGCAGCTGGTATTCAGTACCCCTACCAAAGTACTTATCAGTGCCTGCTGCCCGCATTGTTATTAGAGATCATTTTCTGGGACCTCGACTATTCTGACACCGATGGCCGATGACTGAATAGGTGGCGTTGCCGCACCCCTGCATTCGGGTCCTCAATCCTCGATCTGACCTCTGCTACCTTCGTCGGGTCATTTGCGGCACATTCTCGAGCCTAGTCGGCGGCGACGGAGATATCCCCGGCGCTGGTCATGCCGTGCAGCATGAGCCGACGCGCGAGCACACGGACGACATCGAGCTCGCTGCCTGTCCAAAATACAGCATCCCTGGGTCGCACTCAGGGCCCGGTGTGGGTGTCTGACAGGTTGAATAGACAGTGAATTCAAAAGCAGATACCTTAATCGAGAATATCGACTATTCATGCGACTTTCTGTGCTCTATTCTGTGCCATTCAGAATCTTCGGTAAGCTCACGAGGTCCACTGCGTCGGTCGCGCTGATTCATGGTGCAAGGGTCTGCCAGACGCAAGCACGAGCTTTTGGTAGCAGCCAGGGTCGGCACGGGGCGGCAGGTAGCGACGCCGCAATGATAACGTAACCTTGGGCCACCGTGCACGTCTCCACGGCCCCTGAACAGCCTTTTGCAGAAGTTCGGGGCTTACGAGCGCATTAACTACCCCTCACCGTTGGCCGCTGGCCGCGCAAAGCAAACGCCGGAGTACCCTCGAGGCGCATTAGGCGTTCGGCCTGCATCTCAGGAATGATCTGCATGTCGTGCGAGCTGACATGCAGGCTCTGAGCGCGAGCGCCAGGTCCCGTCGGCTGCCGTTGCTGACGCAAGGCAGGATGCGAGGCTTACGCCGTGTGACGCGAGCAACTGGACATGTGCGCACATAGGCACATACCAATTCTGGGACGAGCAGCACTCGGAGGTTGGGCTCGATAAGCATATGCGTGAATGGCGCGTCCCGCGTTCCTCTCCCAGAGTCGTGGTCAGCAGCACCGCTAGCTTGGGCGGTGCTGCTGCTGCGAGCCCCGCGAGGTTGGGTAAAGCCCACCGGAGGAGGCTGTGGCAGGCTATGAATTGTAGATCTGTGCTGAACGGCTCGGTGGAGCTGAATGCTAGCGAGGATTGTGAGGCAGTCCGAAGCGGAGCCTTGGAGTTTATCAGTTGGCAGCCGGATATCCGTATACCAGCGTGCTAGATACACAGCGGAGCGAAGCTCGGTGGTTTCCATGAGGCTCGGCAATGCTTTGAAAGTCGAGCTTGGAAGGCCCTTGGCCCAGCGGCGTCTTCACGAGGTTCCGGATCCGCTTGAGCTCTTGGCACTGAAGTGGACTTTCCATGGCAGCATCCTTGGCTGCTCCACTTCGCACTCGTCTGTGAGCACATGGTAACTTTCGCGACGCACACACATCGCAGGCCGTGAGGTAGGGTCATCCTCGACGCCACAGCGCCTCGCAGCCTTGGACGACCTGAAGTGGCCCAAGGCCTGAGCAAAGGCAACCCTGCGGATCGACTTTGATCACGTTATGCCGTCCTAGAGGTGATGTGTGCCTCGTGTCGTCCTCACACTGAAGGGCTCCTTCGATAAGAGACGGTGTAAGCGTATGCTCACGTTCCCAGACTCCTGGTCTGGCTGTGAGCTTGAAGTGGCGTGTTACTTGTGAGTGATCCAGGAGCGTCCGAAGAGTCCCGTAAGCACGTAGAGGGAGGGAGGACAGTACACTTGGAGTGGTCGAAGCTGCATCGTATCGACCCAGCACGTGCGCTACGCTTTTCCGGTCGACCACTAGCGACTGCTGAGATTACTGACGGGACGGAGTGGCGCGAACCTGTGACGGGCGGGCCGCACCGCGATGGACCCCTTCACTCCGCAGCGCCACATCGAAGATCAGCTGAGCAGCGAGATGTTCACTGTCACTTCCAGTTCCAACAAGTATAGAGGAATACACCCTAGTGCAGGGGGCCTCGTTGCTCTGCACCTGTTCCAACACATCTCAGGCACTGACGCGGCGGGATGCTGCGGTGTTGGGAGAGACGAGTGCCCCCGCGTGTGGCGGTGGAACTGACGCCGCTGCAGTGGCTAACTGGAACCTGCCTCTCTAAGCTCACGCAAGCAACTAACCTCTCCATAAGCATAAACAGTGAGCAAACCGAGACGACTCAAATCCCCGAGCAAGGTGGGCCTCGTCCGAGACCGCTGCTGTAAGTGGGCGGATGAGGCGTTGGTCCCGGATCAGGAAGCAGAAAGCAAACGCCGGACGCTGGGACCCGAGCTCCTTTCAAGCTGCCCGATGTCCGCTGACCGCCCCCAGACGTCCCCACAGTTCCCCACAGACGGCTCTACCGATGTACACAGAGGTAGTGCTTGACCGCTGGCCGCTGTGTTTACATAGGGTTTGGTTGACGTACATTCGAGCAGCATCCTAGTTGTGTGGCGATGGCCGTGTTCGAGGTCACTGCCCTCAACTCCTTCATCGGCTGCGGTAGTGAGTTTACACGCCCAAGGGCACGAGAAAAGCTGACCCAGATTAGAGGAAGTGCGGCAGTGCGCAGAGCGTGACCAGCAAGACATTTAGCATCGTCCCTTTGACCCAACGCGACACCCGCCTCGACATAGCGTCCCGGCACAACTCTGACGACATCAACCCAGTGCCGCAGAGCAGATCTCAGCACGCACCGTCTCCCCAAGCTTGCCCGCACCTCCCTTCCCTTGCAACACCGAGCCCAAGAATGCAGGCGTCGATCCCGGACTCAAAAAGCAAACACCGAGACTATGTCTACCCAAACTCACCCCTACCCCCATCCCCACCCAAGCCCAACCTCCCGTCCAACGAGCGGCGTCGATTCAGAGCGAGCTCCACAAGAAGAAAGAAGCGTATTCAGCCATACCTGCGGCGTTCATTATGTCGGCCCGCGGAACGTAGAACAGAAAGGATCCCGGGTGGAGCGTCAAGACAGGGAGGAAGTGTGGCGCCAACTCGTTCCGGCGTTTGCTCTGGGATCGACACCGGACTGGGTCCTTGACTGGACGAGGGCACCTAGACAGATGTGTTGCGGTGTTTTGCACACTCTGCTCACTTGCAGCGCGGTGTACATGGAGTGCTCAGTGTTCTCCACACTCACGATGCCGTTGACTATCATTCTCTTCTCACCTTGACGCCTTTTTAACCGAAATCCAACTCTTGCCACTCGAGAATACACGGTTCCAGAAGACGGACGCACATACAACGGTTACCCAAGATACTAGCGGGAGATCTGATCGGCCCGAGGCAGCTCTTCTGTGTCCCGACACACTTATACTCCCTTCACTGGTCACCACTGGCTCAGTGAAAGCGACACCTGCCTCAGCCGTGCGAACGCGGCAGTGGTCGCCCTCCCCTGCATCGCATGACGCTAGCTGACTGCACATTACTGATTCTATCTGTCCAGCTGCTCAAGCTTCCCGACGTTCGATGTTCGCACGTTGACACCCTCGTCCAGAGTGCCTGGTCCATCGCAACACGGCCAACGGCCGCTTACCCACACCTCACCGCCCTGCACGGCGTTCCTGCCTTCCTGCCCTCCTCAGCTCCTGCCCCCCC